ACATCAACTGCAATGCGAATCTACCACTGACTCTGTTTGCTTTGCAACATTGTTTATCTCCACAAATAAAACAAGCCTGAAGGAGTTCTGCCTACTAGTTGAGACGTTCTCTGCCGTTTCCTTGATGCTAAACCAACAACAGCCTTTCCTGTCACGAGTCAAGATGGGAGAGTCCATGAATGTTAGGTTACTGTGTGACATAGATCAGTCAGGCTTTTCTAACCCTAGTTCACCGTCTATGTTCTATCAGAAGCTAATACAGGAAGTAGGTGTAGGACAGAATCCTCCCGTTCAGCTTGCATGTTAAACTCAGAGTAACCAATTATTTAAAGAGCAAATTGCAGGTAAAACAAATTTTCTAATTCGTATAAAATGCTGTTAAAAAAAATCCTATTCGAAATGTTTATCGTGGATATTTAATTTTAAAATACATAACAGCAGTTTTTCTAGTAAAAAGTGGCCTTTCTCAGCAAAGCTTCTAAAAAGGCTCTTTTTTCTAAACGTGAACCTCTGACATAACCAAAGGGAGTTAGAAGTTAGGCTGCCTCAGCTCAGTGTGGAGAGTGGGTAATTTTAGGGTAGAGCTGTTATCCAGACAGTGTGTGTGTGTTTACTAGTGTAGGATTGTGTTCATGTTGATAAAATATAGTTTGTGAAGGCAGTACCAACTCCAGCCTGTCTGGACATTGAGTCCACGGGTTTCCAGATAGCAGAAACAACACCTCTATCTCCATGCCTGAGGGTGTTTCTGCAGCTGAAAGACGGACCTCTGTAGCCCACATTGGTCGGTACCGGGACAGGGAGGTCCGCGCTGGGCTCCGGAGACCCGTGGTGGGGTTTAAAAAATGAAATGCGGATTTCTGAAGCTCAGATCGCCATCAGAACCAGGCCAGAACCGACCACCAGAAGAGATGTGCGGCTCAGCGGGCCAGTTGGTTTCCGGGTCAGAACCGGTGTTGTGCCAAAGTAGTTACCCCCATCAAAAATTGTTTCCCCATTCACGGGAGCAATACTATAATACTGTAAAACCAGACGTGATCATGGAAACACGTCACTCTCTGGTGAATTTACACTCGGTTTACACTTTGTTTTTGTTGGCGTTGCTATCACGAAATAGTTTATTTACAAAATCAATCACAGTATAACCAATAACTACAGTAACATTGCAGAGTGTTTCTTCACAGCAAAAGTTAAGGAGGGATACAGATTTTATCAGGCTGTGTGACCTCGACTGCCAAAATGTGTGCCCCCCCCCCCCCCCCCAATCAATAATGCACATTGGCATTGCTATCACGAAATAGTTTATTTGCAAAATTAGTCACAGTATAACTAATAACTACAGAAACTTTGGAGAACATTTTCTTTTTTTAGACTTCTTAATTTAACGTTTAATGTTCTCCAAAGTTTCTGTAGTTATTAGTTATACTGTGACTTATTTTGCAAATAAACTATTTCGTGATGGCAACGCTAACAAAAACAAAGTGTAAACCGAGGGGAAACAATTTTTGACGGGGGTAACTACTTTGGCACAACACCGGATCAGAACCACCGCCCGGACAGCCAGGAGAGGATCATGTGCAGCTTTTAAAAATACCAACTGGACTGGCTCGCTGGTTTTTGGGTCGGATCCAGCTCACAGATGTCCGCATGAGCCCCAGAACCGGAAGCTCTCCCTCTCTCTAAAGCACTAAACTACATTAGGTGAATGGATATTAATGAGTATGAGACAGCTGACAGACTCTCATTCATAGCTATTAACTCACCAATACTATTTTAATTGTCTGGTACAATATAGTAATTTGTACAATATTTTAATGTTAGCACACAAGTTTAAGCTAGCATCGTGAACTCACCTGCTCCATCAGAAGTAGAATTATAAACATTTAAAGTTTCCTCTGTGTCAGCGCTGCATTAGAATCCATATTTTTCTCTGGATTGAGCTAACTCCCGTAGCTGGCGTCCCTTGGCGTGGCAAAAAAAAAGACTTTCTCACAAAAAGGACTCTAAAAGCCAAAATAATTCATATATATGAAAAAAAATTTAAACGAGTTTCTATTATGTTTTTCTAAACATTGGGTGCTCTTTAAAAATAAAAGTAAAACATGGTTTCTCAGTGAAGGACCTCTTTAAATGTTGCAGAAAGAGATTTCAATCCCCTCTGCTGATCAATCTACAATTGTTCCACCTGATAGATCAGTAAAATATTTTGCCAAGTCTTAGGTTTTAAAAGTGATGACTTCGTGAAAACTAAAGAAAGAAGCTCATCTGTAACACATCACACACCTGAGAGCAGAACCATATGGATACATCTGTCTGTGTGCATCTCAGAGGGACTCATCACCGATGCTTCTGATTGTGCAGATAATGTTGACAGGTGGTAATTTAACTCAAACAGTGATCCCAATTTGATTGCATTCAGAATGAAGAAGAATCCAGACAAACAAACACTCTGAGTATGTGAGCCTGTGTGCCCTTGAAGAGATATAAAGCCAAATTATTCAACCATGCAGCAATTAGTTGACAGGAGATGTTTCTGTCATCTACAATTATTGATGATCCCTAAAGCCTTGAACTTTGATGCAGACAAAAATAAAACATTATAATTGCTGCCAGTCCTACCTCATTAACGTTTGTGAAACTTGTTTGTGCCCTTCACCCAGGATGCACATAACTATTGAGTGCAACACACTGCTAATAAAGAGATGAAGACTAATCCTTGAGTGGCTCGATGTTAATCAAAGTATTAATTTTACAGAAGAGTGAGTGGGACACTCTATGAGTATAGCAGCAGCGTTGTGTAGAATGTGAGTTTGTATCTGTGTTTCTGATTGTCCTGCTACAATTAATTCTCTGGGTCACAGCCAGGGACAGTGTCTTCATACCGTGTTACAAAAATATCAATCTAAACTTTTAACAAGCAACCTGTTCAGTTCGGGTCAACATCAAGCTAAAATAGTTTAGTTCTCAAGAACCCAGGAAAAAAAAATTGACTTTCTCTGCTTAACGTGAATACACTTTAAGGCACAACTTGGAGTCTTACTCATTAATATTAATTGTATGCACACATCTCGTCTCTGACTGGATAACAGCAATGTGACTTTTCTCATTTCTCATTTATTCCGATCCCCATTAGCTGTAACTTGTACAGCTACTCTTCCTGGAGTCGATGTAATTCAATAAAACATTTTTACATGTATAATAATGCTCATAGAACTAGCTCAGTTCGCTCTCTCTTTGGTAAAAACTGCAATGTTGTTAGCCTAGAAATCTAGACAGACGAAAAATGATTTAGCGCTGCATATCAGTCTAGCCACGCTCCATTGGCACCTCTGCAGCCCTGACCTGTCTAGTGGCGTGCCAATCACAGCACTTTATCAGGTTGGTGGTCAGGATGATGCAACGGAGGGGAACAACTAAACTGGCGACAGCTTGTTTGAAACGGCTTTGACATCAAACCTGGACTATTTATATTTGGGCTTTTTTTTTTGAGTCAAGAGCAGATAGAGATACTTAAGTCCTTAAAAAAGAAAAAGGTTGTATTTGCGCTTTCTTCAACAGTGTATGGCGGACTGCCATGTTGACTGACATCCATAGTGGTGAGTACATCACATTGCTTGTTGTCCAATAGCTTTCAGAGACAGTTTGAAAGACAACCGTTGAGTCCACCCTTCAAATGAACTTTCACTATGGGTCGCAGCCAGACTATTCACATATTTAGGATGACTTTCCAATTAATGCTGATGTTTTATTTCCACAAATAGCACAAGTCTAAAAGTGTTGCGGAGCTGCTAATGTTAACTTTTACTGTTAGAGATTTGCTCAGCTATATCCTGGCTGGTAAATCCACATAGCCTGCTGTGACTGCAATGATCTATGACTGCTGTTTTTCCAGTGTTACGTAGATCTGTGCGGCTTTTTCTGACCTGATCATTTCTCTATTTTCCACTCATGGCTTAAGTAGGAAACAGGAGTTGAAGACTATTTTCATGTTCTGCATGTGTGTGAAACTGATCATACTTGAAAAATAAGTATCGTACATTCCTCAGAGCCAAAATAAAATGTGTCACCTTTTTCACTGACAAAAAAACAGACACATTGAAAAAGAAACAAATCTTTTAGCAAATTTTCTGAAAAAAAAAACAGCAATAAAACTTATTTTCTATGTACCTTCGACTGATTTCTAATGCAAATGAAAAAACAAGCTGATTAACTTATCTAACATATATATATAAACATTTTACTGCATTAAGTTTATTACATTTTTTTCATCCAGAAATCATAAAAACAACACAAACCTTTACAAAGGATACTAACAACTCATGTCAATAACAAAAAGGACAATTTATAAAAAGTGCATCAGTGGTTTGAAGGCCAAGTGTTTCTCGGATGGTCTTCCAGAGTTAGTTTGAACTGTCTGGATGCCATCTCAGCCTCCCACAGAGCTGTGCCTCCATCAGTGCTATCAGTGACAACTGAAATCAGGGAAACCATTTCAGGCATCTATCTCATATTGACTGAGACTGGACAATAAACTCAGGTTTGATCGATAGCTGTGATATTTGCAAAAGCCGCCAGAAAACTCTTGTTATCTACAAACTAAAAGTGCACTTTTCTGTTCTTCACTTGCTACAAAAGAAATTAATCATTTTGGTGACTGTATAATCTGTCTTCAACAAGGACAAAATTGACCCATTTTAAAAAGCTGTCTACAAAACTACTGCTACTACACACACACACACACACACACACACACACACACACACACACACACACACACACGCATGCATATGCACAAACAAACACCGCACAGACCATGTGTAAAACCTGTTGTAGAGGATGAAGTTTCTGGGTTCTGAAGCTAAGAAGCACAACAATAGGCATCTTGTTATGTCTATCACTCAGTGTTTTATTCTATGTGCATTCTTAAAGGTGTGTGTATGTTCTAAGTTTTCACTTAAAACTTCCTATGTCCTGGACATACTCAAAGGCATCCAGGTTACCTGGTGGAACTCTCTCTGATGCTGGACGGCTCCTGCGTCGCCTCCTATGGGCAGCTGCTCAGACAGCTCCTCGTCCTTGGCTGTAAGCCACTCAATGATCTCCTGCAGGGAGAGCTGTAGCTTCCCACTGTTGTCGGAGAAAGCTTCGAGCCGCGCCCTGCCAACACACACACACACACACACACACACACACACACACGCACACACACACACACAGGCACATTAGCATTAACATATTCCAGTACATTTAAATGCTCCAGATGACAGGTGGTCTCCTGCTGTTCAGACAGAATATTTACTTCATTAACATCCATTAAACACCTTGTTATGAATTTAGAAAAAAAAGCAAAGGTCAGTGGTTGTGTAGGTTGAATCCTAAAAAAATTACTGTAGATGTATATTTATGTTTATCTATAATTAGTTTGTCTATGTCTTGACAAGGGCATTGACCACATTGTCTGCAGATGGTTAAGAAGGCTACAGCTCAACTTTTTACCCAAACAAGAAAATGTGAGCACATCACAGCACTTTTGGCTTCACTTCACTGACGAACAGTGGCTGCACTAGGTCTATGGAATACTTTGTCAGGTCTCACATCAGATCTGTCCAACGACTGGCAGTTCTTAAAGCTCTTTAAAAACCTCACTTTTATTCCGTAGCTCTTCAGTAGAAGATCCAGACATCACAGGAGGGAATTTGAATCACATGACTTGAATTCAAGTCATTCATTTCATGACTTGAATTGAATAAATATTCAAAGATTTTGACTTGACTTGGACTTACACACCAGTGACTTGGGATCGGATTTAGACTTGAATCTGTTTACTCAAAAAGACTAGATATTTAGGCCTACATATTGAGTGAGTGAGTGAGTGAGTGAGTGAGTGAGTCTAGACAAGGAGGTAAGTTAATCCAGTCAGGGAAAAGGATATTTCCAAGTCATGAGCTTAATTATTTCACTTCAGACAGAAATGCCATTAATCATTTTTGAACAATCATCAGCTGAATTAAAGTAACAGAAAATGATTAGGTTAAATGGTTCAGGTTTAATAGAATATCATGAAGCTGAGGGAGGCAGTGCAGTCCAACAAGAGGGTCAGATAAAATTTGTATTCAGTAGTAAAAGTCTGTACTCTTTCATTTTAATTTATAAAATCTCAAAATATTATTCAAAATCTTTTTGTGAAATGTTGTTTTTTAAAGGTTGCAGAATGTGAGGTCCTGCAGAACAAAGTCCGAATGTGAGTAGAAGGAGCTGCTCTGGATGAAAACACTCCAATAGTAAAAAATATTTTTTGACAATTAAATTCTGAGCAACATTGTTTAGGCTCTAACAAACATAGCAAAGTGTAACACACTGGAGCTCTAGGAAACTATTAACGTGCTGTGAACACTCTTGTGGGTTCATTGTGCAACGCATCGTGTTAGTGGGGAACATCTGGATCAACGTGACAGACAGGCCCACTAGAAGTACATTTAATATGTTAAAGCTGCCTTTCTGGTTACTGCTACTCACTTTTTCTTCACTTGTTCAGGAAAATAAAAGTTCTTCTTTATGTTCTGACTCTTGAAATGTTGCTGTCCCTCAGATTCAAAAGTTTCAAAATCAAATAGACGAACACGACACATGGAAGTGTGTACTTCATTGATGCTTTAACCCTCTGGAGGCAGGCGTTGCAGATTTGCAACGTTAAAACCCACCTACCTGGTTACTCCACATACGTATTTCATGAGCATTTTTTAACTCAGAAGTACCCCTGAAGAACTTAGTTGTTCGTCCTTTTATCAAAACTTAGTTTGAGCCTGAGAAGGTTCATCTCTGTTCAAAGAGTCAGATCTAAATGAAAAGAAAAGAAAAAAAAATTAGGGTCCTCATGCATCAAACGTGTAAGCGGTCTTATATTTCTTCCTACAAATGAAATTTAGAATGTGTGTACAAACAGCCAAAATCCTGCTTTCTGAAACATGCGGTGGCCTCTCGTACGCACGCTCCTTCGCAATCACCTGTTGATGAATCCCACCTGTGCGTAACCAGGTGCTCGTGTCCATTCACCGACATTTACATACAGAAACGCCCTCAAATAACCATATTTGGTCACGCTACGTCCTCAGCACATGAGGGAATTTCCTGCTCCAGAAGGATCTCCTTCGGAAAGATTAGTGTGCTCAAGGAGGACGCGCTCCCTCCAGAAGTCACGCTCTGCCAAATCCTCCAACACAGACCAGCCATGATATAATGTCAGATTCCCATCAGTCACATGTGTCTTTTGTTGGTTTTAGCACCAATTATGCTAGAAAGCTGTTTTTCCACCAACATAATTATGTATTGGTAAAAATACTTTATGGATGAGGAACATGTGTGGATGACTGAGACCTTCAGTACTGCGGTTTCCCCGTTCTACCACTAGCTGCTGGGCGTTCGCATGGTCAGAGCTGTTCTTATATTTGGGAACATTTTTATGCACGAGTACAAATTGGTAAACACTACACAATGTGTAAAAATCTATCCTACACACAAAATACACACAGATGTTCATAAGTACGGTTGATAATTAAGCAACCTGGATTGGAGGAAGTGAAGATTAAACAACAAGATTACCCGGTGCAGGCATTTTTAAATTATGTTGTCAACATTTTGACCTTTACAAAAGTGAAATGGAGACAGGATTATTGGTTTAATATGATACTGGCATAACAGCTTTCATAATATTTTCATAAAAGGAAGTGATTCTGAAAGGTTTAGTTACTCTTACTTAAAAGAAAACACATGTAGCTTTGACACGGTGATATTTGTAGCAACATGCTTGCTTTGATAACAGAAAATACACCCTGCTAATTTGTAAACAAGATTTGATAAATGCAAAGCTCACGAGAAAGTAAAAAACTCAGTAGGCCAAAGTCTCAACAGTGATAAATGACAAATGTTCAAACCAAATCAAGTTACATTTCAATCAATCATGATGTTTGAAAAGGAAAATAAACACATAAAAAATTTACAATAAAGATTCAAGCTACCCTCCGACGAGAAACAATGATTTATTTTAATGACACATAAAGTCATTCAGTTATCAGTGAATTTACTGGACTAATTGATTATTGATCCCTTTATTCACATTTATTCTACTTTAAATGTCAAGCCCAGCTCACTTATTTACGAGCAGTTCTACCAGCATCAGAGTCAGTATGTAGCAACCAGTCAGAAAATGTAAAAAAAAAAAAAGTCACATTTTCATTGGCTGTGTCTCAATTCAGGGTCTGCATCCTTCGAAGGACCCAGCCCACCCGGCCGACGTGGGCTGCGTCCTCCGTCGGCCGGGTAGACCGGTTGTTAACGGCTTTGAATTTGGACAGGCCTAGCCTTCATGAACTCCCTCGGCGAACGTTCCGTCGCCTAGCAACCGTGGAACCGCTGGGCAGAAGGGAGAAGGAACTTTAAACGATGGAGCTCGACGTTTTATTTAGCTTTTTAACCCCCAGAAACCCAAATTTAGAAACAACTGCAAAATCTTTTTTTAACCTTTCACATGTTGTTCTAGCAGGCCAGATAAACGGGCCTATTTACACATTTTAACAGCCAATAGTGTTGCAGAACTGAACAATAGGTCCTATTAGCAATGTAAATGTGGTTTTAAAAAGAAAAAAAAATGGGGAAGGTTTATTTTTGTAGACTTAAATCCGATGTTGTAATATTACAACCGTGGGTCTCTGGGGGTTAATCATTTCCTTGACTGTTGGAGAGCTAATTCAGAGAAAATACTTTAGACAAGCTGAGCCTGAGCAAAGATGTGATAATAGTTTTTAATACTTTCTAAGGGTCTTAATTTGACCAAAACCGATTTATCACCTTTTAAGACTTTTCAAGACCCAGCGGATACCCTCTAGTAAACAATTCTCATTTGTAAACAAAAATAAAATTCAAGAGTTTAATGCAGAACTGATTTTATTTAGATATTTCTTTTATATGTACATGTTTAATCTTCCTTAACCATTTTTTTCTAGCAAAGTAAAAAGCTGTCAAAGTTCTCCCTTCTCTCCTGTGCTCTCTGCTGCTCTGCCTCCCTCTGCAGCCTCATGTCCTCCCTGATCAGCTCCAGAAGCTGGTCATCGCTGGCACCTTCCCCTGGATGTCCATTTTCTCCAGAATAGTCTTAACAAACATGTAAGAAAAAAACAGATAGAGAAAAGAGGACAACGGGTTATTCCTTTCATGTTTTCGCAGATAAAAATAAACTCAAACGAGTTTTTTTAAAATATGAGATGTTATTGTACCTCCATGCCACAGCCGCCGAATACTTTGCTCCGGTGATCATGTGGTCCATCTTCGCCCTAAGCTTAATAAATTCCCTGGTTTTCTCTTTTGTTCCTAAAATACAAACTTCTATTAAAATCAGGGGGAAACGCAGCGGGAGAAGTACGACACCGAGCGCGGCCGAACATACGAGCCAAGACCGCAATACAAGCACTTTTACTGTTACATTTCTAACTAAAATAACGTTCATGTATCACAAAAAGTCCTTAACCTAACAGTTTTCAAGTTTATACTGACATTTATATGCGCAATCCTCTCCGACAGCTCCCGCTTCACTGTCCGCCATTGTTTTTAAGTTTTTCTGCCGGCCGGCCCGCAAGGCATCTTGGGAAATGCTACCTATTGAAGGATACACCGGACCCATCCTTCATTCAGGCGAAAAGAAGGCCGCATTCGTCGACTGCATTTGAAGGAGTCTTCGAATTGGGACAGGCCTAGTCGCGGCGCTGTGACGTAACCGGCCGACGTAGGATGCAGACCCTGAATTGAGACACAGCCATTGAGTGGAGTTAGTAGCATATTCTGTAAGAAGAAGAAATAAAATTAGAACTAAAATGGATCATTGGCATATGGTCCTTTTGAAGCTGGTATATCTTTTTGCACCAATAGCAGCTGCTGTTTAGACTCCGCCCCTGCACACGTATCGTGAAACATGACAAAATTTTTCCAGCGCTATGTGACCTCGTCAGCAATCAGTTCATGTATTTTTTCTATTGCCATGTTTCGCTGAAGGATTAAAAGTTAAAAGTAATTGAAACGTTGTTATGCCATGAGCCACATCACTGCTCAGCTTCAGGAGACAGGACTTGGAGACTTATTTCCTGATATTTGGACATCCTTCCTCTGAT